CCGACGTCTTAACAGCGGCAACCTCCGGGACCTTACAGTGGACCTATCCTCGGCATCGGCGTGAACGTCTGTTGTGCCCTAAAACCTACAAAGGTCTTAAGTGCACAGTAATCATAAATAAACATGTATGTAAACGTGTATGTGACGTAGTGACATAAGCTCGGCCCACTCATGAATACTCATGATTTCTGTGCACTTAAGACCATTGTAGGTTTAAGGGCACAACAAACGTCTACAGTTTGCCTTACAACACCAAAACTGGCTATACAGGCGATGGAGAACAATTCTGTTCACAGATGAGAGTCGGTACTGCAGATGGCAGAACAAGAATATGGCGACGACGTTGCCAGCGTTACTCAGACCAATGCGTTATGGAAAGAGACTCATTGGGAGGTGCAAGCATCATGGTATGGGGTGGAATAGGCGTGAACCAGAGAGTGGGTCCGTGGTGTTCCAGAACCTTGGTCCAGGGAGAGAAGGCGATATCACAGCGGTGCGCTACATCGACCAAGCTCTCAGACCCTACGTCATACCACATTTCGCACGTCACCGGAACAACATTTCCCAGCATGATAACGCCCGGGCCCATACTGCCGGAGCTACACGGGACTTCCTACAGCAAAACGGTGTCAACACTATGCAGTGGCCAGCGCTTAGTCCTGATTTAAACCCACTTGAACATCTTTGGGATGAAATTCAGAGGAGACTGAATAATGTCATAACACGGCCGAACACAGCCGATTTATTTAGCCAGGCCTTTCTCAGAGTGTGGTTCCAGGTGCCAGTGGCCTTCATCAATCGATTGGTGCACTCCATGCATAGAAGATGTGCTGCAGTTATTGCCGCTCGTGGTTGTCACATTACATACTGAAGTCAAGAGTCTGAATGGACTGCAAACGTTCACGTAATGTCTTGAAATTGTGCTGAATTATTCATTGACGTGTCAAAATATTGTACATAGAAAATGGTTTTGATCCGCATATTATGTCCATTTCTATAATGATTTGATTACAGTGCCTATTGAACTTTGAATTCGTACTGACGTTTCTTTTGCTGTTGGGTATATTATGTATTGTCCGAATAGTGCTGTTGGTTTAACTGTGATACTGTAGATGTTTAATGTTTAGTGAGTGAATGTGCGAGTATAGTTTAACGCCGCTTTTAGCAATATTCCGGCAATATGACGGCCGGAACTGTTTTATAGTATACATGTATTCTTTATCAATGTCAACGTCACGATACGGCTGAAATATAGCCGATGTGACGGTAATTATTAACTCACTCACTCGAGTATTATACTGCCTCGGAATTCGTACTGCCGCTCTATTTTGTACTTCCACAGCGATACGTTTGTACTGAAATAGTATTGATGCGTGAATTTAGTTAAACTTTAGAATACAATTCGTAATCTCAGCACACTTGTTTGTTGTTTGTTGGTTTCAAAAATATTTCATTTTCGGACTGATAATTATGAAGAGTGAAGAGCTTTACGCCGCACTCAGCAATATTCCAGCAATGGCGGCGGTCTGTAAATAATTGAGCCTGGACCAGACAATCCAGAGATCAACAGCATGAGCATCGATCTGCGCACTTGGGAACCGATGACATGTGGTCAACCAAGTCAGCGAGCATGACCACCCGATCCCGTTAGTCGCCTCTTACGACAAGCATGGGTTACTGAAGATCAATTCTAACACGGACCTTCACGGGTGGCACTTACGAAGAAAATGATTTGGTTTACAAACATTTTAACTGTAGGTCAGGGAAGGCGTACAAGCTCTGTGTGGTTTTGTGCGGAGATGGTGTTTCGGTACAATTACTGTGTGGACCCGGGGTCAAAATGTGTCATAATAGACAACCAAATTGAGCAGCCTTTTTGTTGTGGGTTGCGCCCCTGTGTCAGTGGAAGACGGGATTTTGGTGTAAAGAATGCCAAGAGTAGCGTTCCTTTGCGCTGTACATCTATTCGACCCTTTCCTTTCCTAGACCATATTGGTAGAATGGGCCCGATTCTATTAATCGGCTGGTCATGCCAAGCCCTGTGCTGCAACAAGATGGTTTTGCACACAAATAACAAAAAAGAATAAAAGTGTCAGCTTATGCTGGCCAACATTTAAAAGATACACAGCAATCGAAATTCCCCAGACAATATTATCTACTTTGATCAACAACGGACTTCAGTGGAAGAAGAAACATAATTTTACACTATTTCAACCCTCTTAGAGTCACCACCGTTTATGGTCTCAGTTGATCATAATATTAATATAAAAAACATATATCTATGATCACAATTTATCTGTGAGTTTAATTTCTCTTACAAAGCCAAGAATAGGTCCCTAGTGACAGAGAAATCTAGACAGAAAAGCAACACATGCTTGACTGTGATTCCCTCATCACAATAGATGAAGGTTCCCAGCTTTCAACCAGTATACTCGTGTGTAAGTTAAGTGAGGTCTCGTATGATGCTGCCACTTGATCCACACCTTGACTATCGCTAAGTCTCTGAATATCTAAAAAAATTAAAAAATTGATAGTAACAAACAAACCCATTACAAATTGAAAAGGAGCCCCAGGGAAACTAGAACCTGAGGAAATCTAGACTTGTTTCATTAAGGGCTTTAGCATGCAGCAACTGCTAGGCAGTAGGGAAAATACTATTGTGGTTCTGAGAATGTGCGACAGACTAGATCCACACCCCGTAACAGTTAATCACAGCGCATTATATGTTCACTCAGTGAGTGAAATTGACCTTTTTCTTTTAGGCCAGCTTACATTCTTGTACCTAGACGCATATCTAGTCTGTCAGCAGATAGGGAACCAAGTAATTTATGAACCCCTTGCGGTCAGTTCCGGTGCGGCAAAACAAAACCCACAAAACAGCTCTCATTCTGACGCCTGATATTCAGGGTATCAGACTGACTTTTCGCGCCAATATAGTTTTTTCTTATTTTAAATATATATATCTACCAACTAATAGATAAATAAAACCAAAAAAACAGTCCACAAACCATTCTTAATTTCAGGAACTAACCAAATCTGTAAGACTTGAATTCAGTAAAATTACTTAAAGGCCAAATATAGAGATAGCATAACACATTACAACCCGTTTTATCACCCACACTGCATATTTTGACTGCATCAGTGCTTGTCACCCTCTATTAGACCATGGGGTTAATACTCATTGGCATGGGTTGCTCAAATAATGAGCTGATACTGCAGTGTTGAGGAAGACTAAATTTGCAGTTATAGTTTCATGATGTCACTCTCCATTTGCTGTTTCCTCTGATAGCTGAACTACACATTTTTATATCAGCTACACATTTTCTAAATGTTCCATGCAAAGGAAATGTGCATCTGCTCACTTGACCATAATATGTTTCAGTTACATTATTTTTATCAAGAGTTTCAAACCTTCAAATATAACTTTTTGTACTCCTGCTTTGAACCCTGCCCCTTTGGGTGTTTATGGGCAGTATATCTCCTCCACTGGTCTATCAGAGTAAAAATATCAGTGTTAAGTGATGAAATGTATATTTTGCACCATTTTCATGCTAATGATACTAATTACCTTAATCTGGGTACTTAGATTGTAGCCTACAACCGTATTACCTACAAGTAATGGCTGTTTGGGTCAAACCTTGTTTGTTTTTAGTAACCTGATACATTTTGTGGCTGGTTATGACAAGAATTTCTAATTACCGGATAACACTTTTACTGATGCTGAGAGATCCTGAAAGATAAAAACTTTTCTTGTATTTGGCCCAGGACTATAACCTTGTCTGTCCACATGCCACTGTCACTCAGCCAGCATAATTATTACCAATACATCCTCCTACTCACAGTGTGGCTCAACTGACAACCATATATGTTGGTTACGTTGTTTTGTTCTGCACTTGGTCCAAACTTGATATAGTTTCAAATGCTAGAGATTTTCCACTTCAATTTGGTAAACAAATACATGTACTGATGCACTTAAATCTGTTAATTTAATATTGAGCATGAATGCAGTCAGAATTCCCTTTTTGAGCTTTCATAATTCCATTGCAGATATATCTTTGTATGTTTACTGCAGGAACATTTCCTCATTTCAAAGTCTAAAACCTGTACATTGTGTAACATAGGAAAGAGGGTAAACACCAGTGGACAGAATAAGATTAACTGTAAAATCAAAGATGAATCTCACAAAAAACATTAAGACATGTTATAACTTATTCATAGGTCAACAGACCAACTGTTTCTATGCAGGGATATGTTATTAGTCTTTATGGTTTTTAAAGTTCCCTTAGTGGTCAAATTGCATAAAAGGGTAATTTTGTTCAAAGCGGGGGTTTCTTAAAATAACTTTTTGGGGGGTTTTAAAATGGGGTGAACATTTCTTTCAATACAAACAGTAAGAATTAAAACCTCTTCCTGTTGTAAGTTACCTTTACAAAGCCATAACAACAGTTTCAGAAATGCCGCTTTGATGCATCTATTCAGGTAGTGTGCATCATTCATCATTGGCCCATCAGCGGCTGATAGTTTGCACTCTCGACTAATATCGACATCTCTGAACAGCACTGGGCAGACAGTATTGATATAAATCATAGAATCTATGATCAGTATTAGGAATAGTAACTTTAAACAAAAATCAAGAAGAAATCTGAAAGAAATCAACATATTTTGTATTAGTGGTGAGTTTTGACTTTTTTGCATGGATGACTAACAAAACTGCATCCTTAACATGACTTAGAAGCAACCCATGAATAAAGACATAACTTTGTATATTGTGTGAGTAAATTGAAACTATGTTTCATTACAATCATGCATACCATTTATGATATTATGGGTATTCTTAAATTCCATTCAAATTGACTTGCCTTGATGAAAAGTTTTTTCCTTTGGTCACCCTTCAAATCAAGTTCAAAGTTGACAAAGACTGTAAAAAGTCTGGAAAGGTCTAGCCTGTCTCATAGTTCCTGAACTGCATTATTTTTACTTCCGTCTATGCCTTTCTGCAATGCTAAAGCCCCAATTGAAGCAAGTCTAGTTTTACTTGGGTTCAGGAATCTCCCATCTCACTAAAGCTCCTTTTTAGTTTAAAAGGAGTTATTTGCTTGTATCAAACTTATATATATTCAGAGACTAATTGCTAGTCTCGGATGGTCCTGTTAGACGTGGAAATCATATCCAATCCAGTTTATGCCTGGTAAGTTAATTTTATTTTACAAAAGTTTCTGAATATGAAACATTGTAAATTCAGTATTTATGTATGTTGTTAGGATGATAACTAAATCTAGTAGTATTTTAAATACTTTATCAGTTCGTAAGAAAAAAATATCATTTCTTAATCTCAGTTTTGAATTTAAGTTCATAATCATTTTGAGAATAATATTGTTAACATTTTGATGTTCATAATGCAGACAATTATGAACGGGATCAAGAGACGTTGAGCTTGGCAGAGGAGAATTGTGATCTTCGAATTGAAGAATCAGAGGAGGAGTCTCTGAGGCATTCCAAAGAGAGGAAGGGGTAGGTTATGGGATCCAGAGATAAATATCTTCACGTTAGTAGCTTTAAATTGTGAATACTATTTTCACAACTTTGTTAACTTTATTTCTACCTTAACTAGGGATGTCACGATACATAATTTTCATGAATCGATACGTATACTCATGACATGATTCGATATGTATTATGATACCTATTTTCGCTTCATTATTGCGTAAATTTAGTTACATTTTGAACATTAATATTTCATATTTTATAATTGTCCATGAAAAGATCAACATTTTTTATCCTCAGAGATCTTTGTGCATGAAAAATAATCATTTATTACTCTCATAACATCAAAAAAACATGATACAATTGCAAAATGTCAACGATTCATATTAAAACATATTTAAAGGTCACATGCAACGTAAAACACAACTTTGCAGATTCTGATACCTTTCGGTATGGACTTACCGAAACAAATCATCAAAAATGCAAATTCAACTTATAAAGTTGAAAAATAACGCGATGAAAAAAAACGCGCGAAATCGTAGTTCAAACGATTCAATAATTTTCCCGAGCGTTTGGGGGGAATTCAAGTGGTTCCAACAGCTGGGCTGCGCTCATAGCACGTGCGCAGTTAAATAGGTTCGCGCAACTAGGAATCGGGTTGTCCGGTGAATACTCGGTGAAGGCTTTGGTGTGAGCTATTTTTCTAATGTTTTGTTGATATCTCACAGACGCGAGCTTTTTATATGTTATGACAGTAAATTAACTGTTTATATAATTTCATTTGCCTATTTCACCACACGTTCTTCTTACCGAGTCACTTTGTCGGTTCGATACTTATAAGCAATGTCATTAGTTAGCGTTGACAGAGTTTCTAACTGTGATATAGATGTGTCGCTGTCACAGACAAAACTCAATGTCTTGTTTTATTGACACCTGTGTGTCTGCCTGCCTGTCTGCTAATGACAATATTCAATACACAACTGCGATCACTGACCACATGCAATTTGAACTTAACACCAATCAGGCTATACACCATAAACAAATCGCATTGATTTATGGCCCGAGTTCGGTCTCTGTCACATCATGTAATTACACAGACAGGCAGGTGTGATACTTGAAAACATGACATGTTATGATGTCTGTTGATTGCAAAATGTTATACACAAAAAATGAGCATGTATTTACAAAACCCAACATCTCTATATACACACACACAATGAGCCGTGAGGGCATCTGCAAATGAACCGGCCGTTACACTTGAGTGCACACCCACCCGCTCTGACTGGGTTCGGTATGCCGGCTGCTTCGTTCCTTGGGAAGTAAACCCAAGTACACAATATTGCACTTTTGATTTGCGATTGTACGCTTATAATTTTGTTTATATATTATATATCATGAATAGGTGATAATTGTGTTTTAATATTATGCTTGATTTTCTGGTTGCATGTGACCTTTAAACAGATACTTTCATAACTAAATGTCGATACAGTTTTGAATGTATTGATAATTTTACCGTCTTAGAAAAAGTATCAATACATCAATGTATTTAGGCATCCCTAACCTTAACAATGTTCTGGCCTACCTTTAGAATTCCTCACCACAAACTTGCAATACCCCATGAAGTAATGCCTCATGAGTCTTTGCAAATTGTTTAATCCTTCTCAATATCAGTACAGTTATCTTGAATGGTTGTGTGCCGATCAGCACCGTATGCAGCAATACATGTTTTAGGTATCATCTCATACATGAGCTTTTACTATTGATAAATGTAACAAGAAATTCAAAATGGCCAATAAGAGATTAATTGATACACATGGAATAGTGTAATATACAGATAGTCTGTCTTTGATGACATATCTGAAAAATTTAAAGACAAACTTTATTTACTCTAATAACAAGCAGTTCCAGACAAGTATTGTAGTTCTGATCATGGAAAACTTTACAGTATATATAGAATCTGGCAGAATTTTCTCTTTTCATATATCAATAGGGTATTTTTCAGAAAAATTAAGCTTTTCTATTGACTTTTGCACTTGAATGATGTCCAAACATTTACAATTCAAAAATTTATCCCTGCAATAATCATGTTTTTTATAGAGATATCATTTTCACTTTTAGGTTACTATCTACTCATATCTTACCACAGTTTCATAGAGAGCTGATGCATGTCGTGTGTCGTAGTGCACAGAATTCAGACAAGACCCATGAAGAGAAAATATTGGCATTTCGCAATACAGAGTATACAAATGAACATTTTGCCTACATTTTGTTGTTTTTCTGTAGTCAATAATTCAATTTTCTATCAGATAATCAGGTGTATGAAAGTTCTGACACCATTCTGTTCATATCACAGGGGTGTTTGGGGTGGGGGTGGGTGGGTTCTCAAATAAAATTGTTTTACATAATTGTATCAGGTGTTTAAATGGATTGTTATCAAATGATTCATGTAATTGTCAATACATTTGCATTAATGTTTTTGTGTCCTTCATACACAGTAAATTCAGCAAATGAGAACTGAAGACACCTGTATTCCATGTCAGCAGATACATTTTCTTCCTTCAGAATTCAGATGTAGTATCTGTGAGAAGGTACTAAAATGTAAAGGTGGATATACTGTTCATCAGCAGATGCACTGGAAGTCAACAGGTACCAACAGTTTTTAGTAGTTTCTTTCTAGATATCAAGATAAGTGAACACCCATAACATATCATATCATGATACAAAGTCAAGAATGTGTTTAGCACGACCGCTTTTCTATATATTATTGTCAGGTCATTAGTAAAACAATCAAGCTTTCGCTACTAAATTCCATTGTATCCAACTAGGATGTGTTGTCGAAAGGTCTGTGTTTATGATGAATAGGATGTATTGTGTTAAACATCGGGCAACTATTCATATATATATATATATATGTATTAATATTCAGCAGACTCTAGGGCAAGATATGTATATCATAATCATCAGATGGTTGGGTAACACATCCTGTCTGTTATAAGCACAGCCCATTGGGCAACACATCCAGTCTGCTATAATCACAGCCCATTGGGCAACGCATCCTCTCTGTTATTTTTACATACCTTTGGGCAACACATCATATATATTAACAGCAGACCTTATCAGTAGACCTTTGGGCAACACATCATATATAGTATCAGTAGACCTTTGGGCAACACATCATATAATCAGTAGACCTTTGGGCAACACATCATATATATCACCAGTAGATCTTTTGGCAACACATCATATATATCACAAGTAGACCTGTGGGCAACACATCATATATATTATCAGTAGACCTTTGGGCAACACATCATATATATCACAAGTAGACCTGTGGGCAACACATCCTATGTATTACCAGTACACCTTTGGGCAACACATCATATGTATTATAATTAGACCTTTGGGCAACACATCCTACAATCAGTACACCTTTGGGCAACACGTACATATACATAGTCAGTGGACCTTTGGGCAACACATCATATATAGTGTATATACCAAGCTCTCTGTAGTTCACCTGTCTACAGTCAAATTTTATTCAAACTTTGTATCCCTAAAGAGGCCATTTAACTAATCAGTTTGTAATCTAGTTATATCATATGGATAAGTGGAGTTTGGTAGTCACACTGTGCACTCAGCTGTAGCATTAAATCATACATTTATAAGGGTTAATATTTCGTCCTTGCAGTCTATATTGACTGATATCAGTTATGATTCAACACTTCAAATGATATATGTCATACCTGACTGAGATGCACAAGTGGTGTTCTGCCAGGAAAAGGACAACTAGAGACCCTTCATACATAAACATATAGGGTCAGTTTATATGAATTATGGGGGTCACACTCAGAGATATATACAGCTTGAAACATGATTGACCAGTATTGTTATTGAAATACAAACAATTTGCTCTGTCTACTGAGCAAGTCGATGCATTTCAAGTTTTGCCCCCACTTTCTGATGAAGATGAGCTCAGTTATCACTAAAGCATGTGATCATGGTGATGTCATGCATTCTATCAATGTGTTATTACATTCTATGGTGAACTCATAGCATTCCAGACCTTTCTCATGTCTCACAACTTTGAAAGTAACCTAGATAGATAGAACTTAGAACACGACAGATCATGTTTGTATTCTACAATGTCTGTACATACTGTATGTTTCTAGATTTGTAGGTTTCATTGAGTAGTCAATGCCAAAACTGTTTACATTTCAAACCTCAAGCTAAACTTCTCTGTTCCAAATGTAATTTCTGTTGATCAAATACTCAACAAAAATCTCAAATCTGAAAACATACCATGTATTTTTTCTAACTAGATAAATAACCCTTAGCCTTCAGCACTGCTAGAACGTGGCTGACATACTGCCGACATGTCATCAACTGGTCCCAATTGCATGATATTTGGAGAAAAATCACTGAGCCAATTGTATGTAGAATGTTATGAAGTTTGGTATAGAAGTTAGCGAATCAGATATGTTTTATTCTTTTGCATATTTTGAGTTCAGACCTTGGTTTTACAAAAACCTAATGCTGCCATTTTTGTCCATCAACATGTTGTTTTAGTCAATATTTCTCTTTTGTTCAATTACTTGCTTGTTGCTTTGATTATTTTATCATTGCTGTAATAATTTCTCTGAGTATATACCAAAATATGTGCATGTTGCTGCATATTAATTATGTCAGTGTTTTGTTTCATCATCATTTCACTTGTTTGATAAACACTATGCAATAAAGTTAACCAGTATCTATCGGGACATCCTTCTCCTACTTTTACTTCCTCAGTGGTATTGAGTCTCTATCTGCTTACTGAAGTGATTACTACTACTAGTAGTGTTGACAGGCGGTGAGGTAGCCTAGGGTTAAAGCGTTAGCTTGTCATGCCGAAGGCCCTGGTTCGATTCCCACATGGGTTCAATGTGAAGCCCATTTTGGTGTCCCCTAACCTGATATTGCTGGAATATAGCTAAAAGCGGCGTAAAACTAAACTCACTCACTACTAGTGTTGACCCATCCTTATGGAACTATTTCTATTCTACCTTATTGCAAAGTTAATTTAAGGACTATACGTTGTTATATTGAATATTGCAGTGATTAGAAACTAACATAGACTACTCACACTTTGCTAAGGATCACACAAATTCCCAACTTTACTTAAACATGGTTTTATAATTTCAAATTGTATCCATTTATAACTGGATAGATAATAATATAGTAACCCTTCTTTAGGCAACATCTACATTAATCTAACCTTATGCACTTGATACATGAGTAACCATAAAAATGGTTTTAATGGCACCAATCAACCATTTTGCAAATCATGGAATGAGTCACTTACAAGTACACAACACCTGTCAATAGCAGGTATGGGATCCACAAGATTAAATGACATACTGAAACCTAGGATCCATACTTACAATAAGCTTAGATATTTAAACCAAATTAGACCCGACATCATAGTTTTCTGTTGAATCAATGATTTGATCCATAACAAAGTAGGAATAGTATATTTAGGCCACAAGTCCTCATAATGATAACAAATGAGCTAAATCTTTAAAATGGCAAATGTTTACTTGTCCTGATCAAACCTTAAGTTGAGGAGTTGGGGAAAGACTATAGGACTAGAAGCTGAGTGATGATACTCACTGGAATTGTACCTTGATGTTTTAACATAAATTTGCAAACTTTGTCATATTTCAGAAAAGGAGATAGCTCAGGCATTTTCTACAGATTTCCAAGCGTGAATGCTCTATGTTCAGCTGAGAACAAAAATGATGACCAAGCAGAAAATACAGCAGCAAAGGACAAGGAAGAGATGGCACACATTTCAAGAATAAGATTAACTTTAAAAATATTCAGATGATTTCTAAGGGATGTTACATTTGGGAATTCACTTTCCCAGTAAACTACAGATACTAGTACTTTGCTGGTGGGGGTGGAGTCAATCCCAAGTGTGATTTGATCCCACCCTCTCAGAGTGAAACACCTCATCACAGAACAACATAATCAGAAATTTAACCTGACGATTGTTAGTCAAGGTCTCGTTCAGAGAAGTGTAAATGCCAAAATTATAAAAAAAAATTGCAAAGGTATGCAAATAGGAATGTCAAAACTATTTGGTTTAATAAATAGTAAATAGTAAACTTACAATCTTTTCTTGTTCCTATCACTGGTTCGCACTGGGGTGGAGTATGGCTCAATTTTCCATGGAGTGGGGGTGGATGGTGGTCCTGTAGCACTTGCGGATCTAGTGCAGTGTCTGTTTCAAAATGGGCTGTGTTTAGATGATATTCATACCAGACATCAGGCACATATTAGTGTCGGAGTCCAAGTTCATTCAGGAGTCGTTTGGTATGCCTAAGTGTATGATAGGAGAACCGGAATAGTACCGACTGGCTCAAAATGGGCTGTGTTTAGATGGTATTCAAACCAGACATCAGGAAAATATTAGTGTCGGAGTCCAAGTTCATTCAGGAGTCGTCTGGTATGCTTCAGTGTATGATAAGAGAACGGGAATTATCCCGACTCGCTCAAAATGGGCTGTGTTTAGATAGTATTGAAACCAGACATCAGGAAAATATTAGTGTCGGAGTCCAAGTTCATTCAGGAGTCGTTTGGTATGCCTCAGTGTATGATAAGAGAACGGGAATTATCCCGACTGGCTCAAAATGGGCTGTGTTTAGATAGTATTCAGACCAGACATCAGGCAAATATCACTGTCGGAGCCTAAGTTTATTCAGGAGTCGTCTGGTATGCCTCAGTGTACGGGAAAAAAACGGGAATTATCCCGACTGGCTCAAAATGGGTTGTGTTTAGATGATATTCAGACTCCAGACTCCATCAACCTTCGCCGATCTTTTCGTCGTGATCAGTCATTTGAAATAATGTCAACAAATCCATATTTAATTAAGCAAGTTAATCATGTTGTTACTTTATCTCGTCATGAAAAATATTTTTTATATCTGGACTTTGCAATCCAGTTTATTAATTTTACTCAAAAGGTCAAAAAAGAATGTTCATATCAACTGCAGTGAAATCCTGTGTCTCCCCGATATTATAACTTCGGTCCGCATTAGTCATAAAAAATCACTATCATATTGCATCTACTCACGCATCGAAATGAAGTGTATTTGGCAGAAAATGGATACGTATACATATTTCGTTTGGCTAAAAGGAATAGTTCTTGTAGCTGGACGATCACGTGTCATCGAAGTGTTTTCGCGGTGGAAATAGCGAGATCGCGCGAAACCTCATTGGTGACAGGTCAAATTGTTCCTTGTATAAATACTATCCAGCAAAACACCAAAGAGCTGTCGCATTACCTTACTTATGATTATATATATTTTTCAGTTATAGAGCAAAACCTGCAATTAACATGAAACAATATACCTCTCATGGTAACATTATAATTTCAGATACTATATTTTTCGGATCACTCCGATTAACTAAATCAGGGAAAAGTGTGCACAGCTGATTGACATTTCCGACGGTGTATACGAGGCAAATACACACGCTAATCCTAATCCATGCATATTTTACAATGCCTAGCAAAAACAAATTAGAACTGAAAAGATAAATAAAATTGTCTAATGATTTTTAATTGAAATTTTACGTCTTTACTGACAAAATCGTCTTCACCTGTTCGTTCACAGGAAGCGATACGATGTCGTTTTCTTATCCCCCGAAAGAAAGACTACATATCTGCCTGTCTTCATCAGGGTGTTGATTTCCTATAGAGGTTTTCGGTGTTTGAGAATGAGAATATTTGATATATAGTTGTTGGTTAATC